TTTCGTTCTCGGAGGCCCTAGGTAGGGGGCACTCCTTAACCCGAACTCCCCCCCCAACAAAAACCTATCCCTGAACCCCTAACCTAGGGTTTAGGGTTTAGGGTTTAGGGTTTAGGGTTTAGGGTGCCCTAACCCCTAAACCCTAAACCCCCGTAAACCCTAAACCCTAAACCTGTGTGTTGGTGATGATTGGAGCTCCTCTTCAACAGTTCGCACGCAGTGCTCCACCGGCTCCGAGTCACTGAAATCAAACGGCACCCCTGGTCCTAGAAGTAACCCTAAACGCTAAACCCTAAACCCTGAACCCTAAACCCTATAAACCCTGAACCCTAAACCCTGAGCCCTGATAGAAGGAACCCCGAAAGCCCGAACTCCACGGATAAGGGGTTTAGGGAAGTTTAGGGTTACGGGTGCTCCTGAGAGGGGCTTTTCGGATCTATACGTTTAGGGTTTAGGGTAGAGTCATGGGTAGCTGGGGATGTGGGCGATTTAGATTCAAATGCCTCTCCGTCACCCCGAAACCGTTCATGCCTAATTTTCGCTGGGTTGGGTTTGGGGTTTAACGCTTAGGGCCCAGGCTTCAGGGTGTAGGGCTGAGGGTTGGATGTAGCATTTTGCGGGTAGGGCTGGATTTAGGGCTTTAGGTTTGGGTTTGCGGAGGACAGTGTAGGAGTCGAAGTGGTGAGGTGATTCCTCACTCCTGCCCGACGACATCAAAGAGCCGGGCACTGAGTAGTGGAGACACCTGGTTATTTTACCTGCCTTTTCTTGAAGGGTAACCTCAAGATACATGTTTCGACCCTCTTTCCTAAACCGATAAAATTCGTAAAAAATGATTATGTGACCCTGATAAAGCGAGCGGATGGGGCAGATATGAATCAGGGGTCTACCCTAAACCCTGACCGCTAAACCCCATAAACCTAGACCCTAAGCCCAAACCTACCTTACGCATAGGGGAACCAAGGGTTTTGTCAGGAATCCCATCGTGTTTCCTTTCGGTTTCAGGGGGGGAAAGAGGAGCTGTTTTTTCAGGGGCTGCCATCTGCCAGGATGTTCAAGAACCCCCCAAATCCATGGCTTAGGGAGTCTGATGTAGGGTTCAAGCGTTTTTTGGGTTGAGGGGTTTAGGGTTTAGGGTCTAGGGTCTAGGGTTTAGGGTTTTGGTATCGATGCGTTCGTCACCTTTACTGATGACGCCCTACGCCCACCCTCCGGACCCTGCTGAAGCCTAAACCCTAAACCCTAAACCCTAAACCAAAACCCTAAACCCTAAACCCTCACCCCCAGTCAAAGAGCAAAAGCTCTTCTGCACCCTATTGTAGGAGCCTGGTCTGCAGAAGCTTATATGGCTATCGGGTTCCTGAGGGCCTGGTGCCCGGTTCCATTTGGGTTCGGGGTTGGGGGTTTAGGGTTTAGGGTTCGGGGTTTAGGGTTTAGGGTTAGGGTTTCCGAAAATTACGGTACCTTATTTTGGGGTCCTTATAATAAGGATCCTACTATTTAGGGTACTATATTAGGGTCCCCTATTTTCTGAAACCCCCATATGGCTTTCGGATAGGGGACTTCGTAGATGAGGTTGTAAGTAAGGTATCCATAGTTACAGTGTTACAGGCTATAGATTTAAAGGTTTAGAGGTTATGATCCCTTCTACGTCGAGGGTACTCATAGCCTTGTTTTGCTAGGTCCCCCGATCTTCCAAGTAAACCTGTGTTGGAAGCGAAGCAGCGACGGATCAGAGGCAAACGGACTTCAGCCTCTTACCGGGCATTTACTGTGTGTGCATGTGTGCCCGCACAGTGTATGCGTATGATATATGCATATTTATGTACATATGTATGTGTATGCATAATGTAAACATACATGCATACACACACAGAATATATATATATATATACACGTATGTATATATATATATATACACATGTGTGCGTACATGTGTGTGTGTGTGTAGAACGGGACATTTATGCATGTGTGTATATATATATATATATACACATGCACACACACATACACTGCATATACACGCATATTTATATATGTGTATATACGCACACACACACACACGCACATCAGGGCCCTGACCCTCCCAAGACGCCCAAGGCCAGTCTTCAAGATGGTTTTGAAGACCGGCGGTCAGAAGGATCTCAGGGCGTTTAGGGCTTCGGGTGTAGGGTTTCAAGTTTCGGTTTTAGGGCTTAGGGTTTAGGGGTTTAGGGTTTAGGGTTAAGGGTTTAGTTGGGGTTTCACGCTTTGGGGTTTTGGGTGTTGAGGGGTTTGGGGTTTAGGGCTTGGGCGTCCGTGCAGATTGTTTGTTGCTGGTGGTGTTTGCAGGCTTGTAGGTTTTTGGTGTGGGCGAGGCCCACTGCATTAGGGTTGGGACGTTGGTGCTGGGTTGTGTTTCGCTATTCTTGTTTTCTTCCTGCTATATCAGTCATAACGCAGCCGATAAGAACCTACGACTTCCTGACAAATGCGTAAGGCCCTGCTACCGGCCTCATTCCTAAACCCTATACCCTTCATTAACCCAAAGGGTCCAAAGTACCTATATGGTAGAATGTAGGGTTTCTATATTAGGAATTGTTATTATGATTTGGGAAAGTACCCCCCATAACAGTACCTAGGACCCTTTGGGTAAGGGATGTATTCCGCTTTCAAGGTTGGGTCTCTCACAACGAAGACAACCCAAACCCAGCCACGAACCTGATGCACTTGGTACATAGAAGGCTGAATACTGAATAGTTAGTGGTAAAGTTCCTCGGGGTTCCTCTTCTATGGTAGAGTATACCCCCAAAAAACCCTAGTCTTTTCATGAAGGCCCGTATATTGACATGAGCAGTTCTCTCGAAAGGAGTACAAGGCGCTCCGGGACGTGCAGGCGAAGGCGGAGACCAACATCGAGAAGAAGCACGTCTATGTCGCTGACCCAGCAAACTCAACCCGGAGCCTTCAACCCCAAAGCCCTACTATAGGGGGCCTTAAGAATTATCAACACTATTTTTTTGGGGGGGGACTCCTTAGTTTTGTCGTTATAGTTTTATAAACCCCAAAACCCTATTCTAGTTATTAAGGCCCCTAAACCCCAAACCTTTATGGTAGCCCTTACAGAACCCTTTATAATATACCCCCAAAACCCTACCCTAAACCCTATACCCTAAACCCTAAACCCTAAACCCTAAGCCCTAAACCCTAAACCCCAAAACCCAAACCTAATTAATAAGGCCACTGCCCTCAACCCCCGAGTCCCAAGCCATGAAATCAGTTAGGGGATCGGCGCTGGGGAGGTATCAGCCAGGCTACAGGGTTCTAGGAGGGTGGGTGTAGGGTTTAGGGTTTANNGTTGCGGGAGGACTACCCATGAGGGCTTGTGGATTTCGGGGAGCCGGGTGTTGGCATGCCTGGCCACCACAGTGAAGGCAGGGCTTATAAGCTTCGGCTTTGGGTCTGAATTGTCCGTCTGTCCTCAGAGCTACGAGTTCCTAAGCCCTATGAGGCCCCCCCAAGAACATACTTGTTTGAGAGTTGTGGTAAGGGAACCATAAAAAAGAAAAACGCACACCCGGAAGCGTAGGTTTTATGGAGTTCAGGTGCGCCTTACGGTAGCTGCCAGAAACTTGAAACATGGGAATCCCAGCACCCCTCATCGTTTCACATCTCGAAGCTTACTAAACCCTATAAACCCTCTGAGCTTACTAACCCCTAAACCCTCTGAGCTACTAAACCCTAAACCCTGTGCGCCCTAAAGCTTAAACCCTCTGAGGGGTACACGCTGAAAAGCCTTAAACCCTAAAACCCTAAAGCCGAAACCCCGAAACCAGCCTAAGCCCTGCGACCTCCCTGAGCCCTCTCTGGAACCATCTCGTCACACAGACGCCGATTCTCCTAGTCCCAGCTAGGAGAAGCTAAGCCCTAAAGCCTGTCCCTTAAACCATATTGGTCGTTGTCAAAATCAGGGTCCCTTTCGGGGTACCCTAAATAATAGGTGCCGTATTATAATAAGGACCCGAAAAGGGACCATAATTTTGCCAACTACCCGTATAAGCCCTAAGCCCTAAGCCCTGCACCGCCATGAGGTGACCATTGGCCAAACCGCCGAGATGTCGTTGAAGAAGGCCAATACTCGGTTCTGTTCTAAAGTGCCGCGTTTGGCGTTCGCTAAAGGGTTTAGGGTTTAGGGGTGTGTGTGTGTGTGTGGGTGTTAAGAATTTACTCCTAACCCCTAAACCCCAGAGGATTCAAATCACGTTCCTCTACATACCCCTACGTAAACGATGACAGGGATGAGCAACAAAGCTTGTCGATTTGGTAATTATACTTATAGATGTATATACACTTACTATACCCTCACTTACTACATCCCATGAACCCGTCAGGTATAATGGTAACCTAAGTTACGTTTCTTATAGCGCGCAGCCAAATCTTGGAGTTTAGGGTTGTTGGACTTCGGGGTTTTGGGTCTTGGGTTTTGGGCAGCTGTTTGCTACGCTACGTGTTCAGCACTCTATAGAATTGAAATTAAATTGTCCCACTGGCTTGGGTAGCTGGCTAGTAGCTGGTTTCTAGTTTGCGTGTTCAGTACCCTAAGGAAATTAAATTGTCCCACTATCATGACTTTCCTACTGCAGTTGTCATGTATTTCGGGATTGGGAAGTGTGAAGATCGAGTGTGAGAGCTAGCGATTTCTCCCTGAGCTACAGTCCTGATGATATTGAGAGCGATGGTAAGGTTGCAACGGCATTGGGTTGTTTCGGATCTGAAGCACAAGAGGTTTGTAGCATAGTGTAGGGGTACAAGCATACATATACCAGCCTCTCTGTCCAGCATCGTTTTTTGGCACGCACAGGCAGAACATTATAGCAGAGCACCAGCCTGGCTGCGCAAATCCGCCATATGGGAGTTTCCGAAAATAGGGGGTACCCTTTTTTGGGGGTCCTTATAATAAGGATCCTACTATTTAGGGTACTATATTGGGGGCCCCTATTTTCTGAAACCCCCCATATTAGTAGGTTCTGGCAGGGAAGGGTGTATGGAATGATGTTGGCCTGTTCCGGCTTGCAGTTTGGGCGAAGCATCTGGGGAGATGGCTCCCTCGGGAACAGGCCACAGCTCAAAACCCCGAAGACCGACCTCTCGCAAGAAGGTCAAAACGAGGAACCTTGAAGTTGCAAGGTAGGATTTGCTTTGACTTGATGGGTGTTTCGGATCATAGGGCGTCGCTGTTTGATGGCTTGGTACCAAGGATCCTCCTAAGCCCTACCCGCCCCTAGAATGAGCCCTCAACTCAAACGTTAAACACAGACAAAGCCACCAGGATGTGCTGGAATGGGTGGTGTCCGGCGACATCAAGATCCAGGACCGGAGCCGTTTCGCTGGTTTCCATCTTTCATCTACCCTCAACTCGTCTAGATTTCGGCATCCCAAAAATGGGGAGGAGCCTGGATAACATGACACACTTATAGATAGGGACCATGAGACCACAGTACTACTTATGGTTCAGACCCCTATTTGGCTTTAAATCCTTGATCCTTAAGCCACACAGTAGATTAACAGCTGAGTCCTTCATCTCTGAGCCAAGTCCGAAATCGTCTTAAGATAGATTGGAGTCTTTCGACCCTACATTGAGATGGATACTACCAACAAAAGTGGTTGATGGTAGCTCAACGTGCACTCTGTTTTGCCTTGCTTCAGGCTACTCCCAAATCCCTGAACACCTAAACCCTAAACCCTGAAAGCCTCACCCCTATGACACCCTACACCCGCGAAATACCTAAACCCTACACCCGAGAAAGTGCAACGACAAAGAAGCCCAGGGAGGTCGCAGGCTGACGAATTACATAACTGGGTGGCAATTTGGGAAACTTTAAAATTTCCTTTATGGTTTGGAAAAGGTACCTATTCATAAATACTTTTCAGGGCCCCCAAACTACAACCCAGATCACCCTTTTGAGTACTCTGCATGCTAAAACCCTGAACCCAATATCAGATCCCAAGCCTCAAAAACACTGGAGTATCCTGAACTCTAAATGCTCAAAATCTTGAGCCGTAAACCAAACAGATCCCAAATCTCTTTACAGTAATGACTCACTCCAAAGCGTACTAGAAAGCCCTAATGACCCCCCAAACACCCTAAACCCTAAAGCCATCTAAAGCCTTATATCCTCAGCCCCAAAACCTTAAAAGCCTCAAAGCCGTAAAGCACCAAAATCATAAGCCCTAAAACCCAAAAGCCGTGATAAAGCTCTCAGCCCCCCCCAACTCCGGAGGACTTCTTCTACCCCCTTGGCTCCGTGGCGTCGTCCTCGAAGGAAGCAGCGGCCATGACGTGGGAGTTCTACAAGGCACGGCACGAGTTTCGGCTCGGAGGATGTGGCTGCTTAGGTGATTAGAGGGTTTAGGGCGTTAAAGGGTCAGGGTTTTGAGCTTTTGAGGGTTTAGGGCTTAGGGCCTTTAAGGGTTTGGGGTTTAGAGCCTTTGAGGGTTTAGGGCTTAGGGCCTTCAAGGGTTTAGGGTTTAGAGCCTTTGAGGGTTTAGGGCTTAGGTAGGGCCTTTTAAGGGTTATATAAGGGCTTCGAGCCTTCAGGGGGTTGGGGTTTAGGGCCTTTGACGGTTTGCTCTTGAAGCAGGCCTTTGAGGGTTTAGGGTTTAGGGTAGGGCCCGTAAGATTTGCTCAAATTACGGGTATTAGGGTTCATCGCCTTGGTTTGTACCAGCAGGCTCCACGAACTTGGTATGTAGGATATGAATGAATAGGGTTGCTGAGGTAGGAGAACTCCACTCTTGCATTGTAGTACTTAGAACAGGGCTTAGATAATACTGAACGATGGTTATAATAAGAACCCCCCCCCCCCCCAAACTGATAGTTATTTAGGCCCCTGTATTAGCCCCAGTGTTAACATTCTTACCCAGTCCATTGATCCTACCTAAAACCTCCTCAGAAATCGAGTCCAAAGGTCTGTTCTGTCGGGTTCCAACTTGTGTAGGGTTTGGGGGGTGAAGACTAAACCCTAAACCCTAAACCCTAAACCCTAAACCCTAAACCCTAAACCCTAAACCCTAACAGGTTCTGGAGACTTAGTAGCAACCCTAAACCTGAAACCCTATAAACCTTACTAAGTCAGGCGGATCATTCCAACTAAAGGACCTTCAAAGCGCCCGGCTGTGGCCCACGTACTACGTCCTCTGACCATTTAAGGTTTAGGTTTCAGGGTTCAGGATTTAGAGTCGTACTACGTCCTCTAACCATTTAAGGTTTAGGGTTTAAGGTTTAGGGTTTAGGGTTTAGGGTCGTACCTCGTCTTCTGACCATTTCAGTAGAAGGCTGGCTTTTCTAGGCCCGGGCTCCTCTGGGTTAGGTCTTGCCTAGCTGGCAGTAGTAGTCGTAGGGTCATACAGACCCTAAAACCTAAACCCTAAAC